GGTAATGTGAATTATAACATTAATTAATTGCGGAATAAAAGTCAAATTATAAGGTAAAAGGCCAGTATGGGGAGTGTGTGCTCATTCCCCGGTTGTAATTCGGGAAGTGCAAGTGATAAAAAGAAAAATAAACAATATGGGGTACGAAATAAAGCAATGTTTGGATTTATTTAACGTAGAAGTATTGGATTACATTTTTTATACTCCATGTTATTTTTTCATACTTATAAGTGCAATGTTAACCAAACATTATTTTATCTTAAACATTACGTTTGAAAATAAATTTAAATAGATTGATCAAAAACATGATACGATGTAAAATTTCTATAATGCCGGACTTCAAAAAGCCAGAATGCCAGAATCGAAATCAATTGTTCGATTGATTTGATTTTCTCACATGTTATCGAATCTAATGGCTGATTATTACGCAATATTTCAATTTCTGAATTACAATTGATAATCAGTTTCATTTTTTCCTGCAAATTGTCTAATACTTGAACGAATATTATGCATGTCTTGTATTCAACAGTAGCCCAATTATCTGGTTTTTTCACCAATTTCAAATTTTTTCGCAAATATTAAAATGTTATTGGGATTTGATTATTAAATTGCATTGAGTAATTATGTTCCATATTTGTTGTCAATTTCATCATACACAATTCCTTAATAATTCTATGAACTTATTGGATTTTATCCGTGTACAATTAAATTGAAATTTTCACTATATGCAATTCAAAAAAATTAATTATATATAATTGATGGACGAAAAATGTGAATAATTTTCGTTCCTTAAATGTTGTATATACAAACAATTGATTGATGACTTTTAACCTATTCAACTCCCATATACTGGGCCCTGCAGATGGTTCGGTACTTTTGAAGTTCCCGTGTAATCCAATAATCCATGATTGGAAATCTACAACACAAAAAAAAAGGTTAAAAGCAAACAGAATTATTTATATCATTTAATGAAATACGTGTAGTAAAAGTGCCAGGGAATATACTAACCTCTTTTCAACTCCTTGAATTCAGTTTCTCACATTCACACTCCAATATGATAATTTCCTATGCATCATTAATTTCAGACGCCACTGGTTAATCACTCATTTACAAACTTTATTTATGTAAATCAATAGAAGGCATTTCTTTCTTGCCTATTTCGAATAAAGAATGTTGACAACTTGGCTTGCAAAACAGTATGCGCCCTACCACCCGTCCCATATATCCCCTCCAAGCCGCCGATAGTGATGTGATACTAGCGCCCTCGAGGTATTTGAAACCGGGTTTCAGGCGCATTATCGTAACCAATGTTCGGCCTCCTGGGCTCTATTCTCCATGCTTGCACCCGTGCGTTTCGGTATTCTGCGACTGACTAAAGTCGTGCTGGTGAAACCATGAACTTCCGGCCCCTTCGGCTCCCCGTTGACTCGCGTGCTTCTCCTTCTTCTTCTTACTTGTGCTGCTGTGCGCGGCGGGCCTGTGTACTACCAAAGATAACTCAGCCAACTTCATACTATACGATTCGCGTGCTTCACGCTAGAGGGTTTCAATCCGAAGCTACCCCCACTCTAACGTAACCTATGCTAGCAGTTCGATCGCTAGATTTTCAAACTATCGATATATTTGATTTTTAATTGAATATTAAAATTCAATTCAATCAACAGGGTACAACTACCTAAACTCCATCATTTTTGTAAACAATTATATCTTGAAAAGATACACCTTAAATCATTTGGAATAGTATCTATCTATGAAATTTCATTTTAAATAATAATTCAGTTCTCTGTACAGACTTTCCTACTGCACAGAGATTTATTTATGCGTATGCGAGATGGAAGGAACTGTTACATACTGCTAGTAACAAATGTAACAATATCATCGCGAATCACTAACTTGACAAACGAACAATTGTGTGTGTATGTGTGTGTCTGCGAATTTGTGTGTACAGACTTGAAGCTTAAATTATAAGACGTCCACGCTGATGACAATCATAATTAACCTAGTATACCTTTCACTGTGTTATTGAAGAGTCCGCAAATGTAACGGACTGTGGAAAAAATCATGAACTCTGTCGATAACAAAAATTTCGACGGTCCCGCCGATACCCGTGGATTTCGACGGCCCCGCCGATACCCGTGGAATCCAGTCGCAGAATTCCGAAACGCACGGGTGCAAGAAAACAAAAATTAGCCGAAGACGAAGAAGAACTGTTGATCGACCACGTGAGGCAGTATCCAGTGTTGTACACAATAAAACACGAGAGATACTACGACACGAAATTCAAGGCTGGAATTTGGCAGGCAATAGCTGGAGTTCTAGAAGAAGGAAGTAAGTGAACTGTGGTTTTCCTCTCAGCCAGTACAGAAAGCTTTATTTTCAAGTTTAACGTTGTGAAACAGGAACATGAATAAATCTCGTTTCATTTCTAAAATGTATCTGTACCTGGTTTGACATTATTATCTAAAGAATTCGAAATTGATTAGAATTTTTTCCTCACAGAGGACATCGTACAGAGTTCATGGGATTCACTAAAAGCTAAATATAAGAGAGAGAAGAAGAAGGTAGCAGAGGCAGCGAGAATAAAGGAACTGTATAACCCTAACTGGAATCACTACTCTTCATTACAATTTTTGGACGAAGCATATTTACCACAGAAAACAGTAAGCAATTTAGACAGTTTATTTACCGACAAATCAAACACTGTAGAAAGCATGGCCAAGCCTACCTTAGACTTGATTCAAAGCCTGCTGTCACCTCTCAAACAAGTAAGCTCAGGCAGCTCAAGAAGTCATGAAAATCATGGGAGTACTCGTGTCACTTCTGATAATGAACATTTGATTTTCTTCAATTCTCTCTTGGACCATGTCAGCAAAGTACCAGATGATAAAGTCTAGGAATGCGCAATGAGATTCAGAATATCATCATGAAATATGCGTATGCAAAACCGGCAGAAGCTGAATGCTGTTGCAGTGCACTTAATTGTCCAACAATGGGTCAGAGGCATGCAACAGCAAACATACCACTACACAACACACAGCAGACCTCTGGCACAATAAAGAAAGAGAGAATGAATAAGAAAGTCAAAGTTGAATTCAACTATGATTCTGATGACTGGTAAGTACTTTTGAATATTATGAATAAGGTATGTTATATATAGTGATCATATTTATTGCATATTGTGAATATGTTGGACGTGTGATACCGGTTAAGAAAGTTATTCCAAGAGACTTGCACAAGAAAACTTCAAAGAAGCAAGGTAATGCAGATAATTTTGTCAACTTTGCAATATATTCATTCATTCTTCTGATTTTCAATTAAACAACCCAATATTTCCTGTTTAAGGTCAAGCCTTGCTTGCTGGTACTCCACCATTACTGCAAATGGACCCGACGTCGCAGCAACTGTTCAAGCAGATGATGCTTCAGCAACAGCAGCAGTACCAAATGCTTCAAAACTTTTACAACTTCGGCACTAGGCCTATTTCAGCTGCAGCTCCAGCTACTGCATTACCACTAGCAGATTTGCAGGGTAATAAAAAATCTTCAGAAACTAATACCAACTCTGAAGAAGATGAACCTGTCAAAGAAACATGAGATCAAGGAAACTACCACAAGCAAAAACTGACTTGCGGTCTGATGTCTAATTTTAAGAATAGATTGTGTCAGGTTAAGTTTTGTGAAATTGCAATGAACTTTTTTGTCAGTCAGACCGTTTTCATCTAATGTCACAAGTATGATTGAATTTCAACGACTTTGTGTATCATCAGTTTGCTTAATAAGGGTGCGAAGTATGCCACATGTGTAGTATGCTCAATGTATACACTAGTCATTCGTATGATTCACACGAACAGGTGCAAAAAAAACTGACAAACAAAAAAGGATTCTTGACAATTTCACCGAAAGCCACTGATTCTCCAGTAAATGGGAAATTTTGATTTCCAGCCTATATCGGTCCCTGGGTCTGATTTTCAGTTTTTATATTTAAAGAGATAGCAACTCCAAAATTCCTGCTGCTCTATTGTGCTGAGAGAAATCAAAATGGTCGTTATGAATTTTTCTCTACAGTCAATAGTTTGGGAGCAAAAAATTCATAAAATTTCGAATACTTTGTTCGAAGGAATTTTTTTTCATTTGTGATAACTTGATGATCTTTTCTCTCCTGCATTATTGACTGTGCAGAAAATTCCACAGATATCATTTTGATTCCTTTCTGCATAATATAATAGAGCAGTATACATTTCTTGGATTCGATATCTCTTCAAATAAAAAAGATGAAAATCAAACTTTCCAATTCACTGGAGAACTAGTGTTTTTTGGTGAAATCATCAAAGGACCTTTTTTCATGACTCAGGCCTTTTTCATCTAATACCACAAATATCATTGAATTTCAATGGCTTTAAGTATTCAATATCATCTTTCTTGATAAGTTTTACCAGTAGCTATATGTTTTTACTGGAAATTCATGTGATTCATGCTATCAGGTGCATGAAGGCCTGACTAACATATAATTTCTTCTGACAATTCTACTAAAAACCCTTTGTACTCCAGTAAATGGAAAATTTATCTCTGTAATGTCTAAATCTGTGTCTCTGCTTACTTCTGATTTTCATCTTTTCAATTCGGAAAGACATCAAATCCAAAATATTTCTGATGCTCTGCTATGCAGGAAGAAATCGAAATAATTTCTATAATAATTTGTCTACAGGGAATAATTCAGTGAAAGAAGATGATCAGATTCTCGAAGTTGAAGAAAATTCTTTTGAGCAAAATCCCTCAAACTCAATGTATTTCTTTTTTTCAACTATTGAATGTAGAGGAAAATTCCCAGAGGACATTCTGATTTCTCTCTGAATGATATAGCAGCAGGAATTTCTTAGATTTGATATCTTTCCAAATAAAAAATTTGAAAATCAGACCCTTGCGCCGGCACAGGTTGCAAATAAAAAATTTTCATTCACAGGTGAACAAGTGATTGTTTGTTACATTGTTGTGATACCTGAACTATTCAGACTCTTCAGCGTCTAATAGCACGAATCCCAGGAATTTCCAATCATTTTGAGTCTCTTCAGTGGGCTCATTAAGTGTCGTGAGTAATGTGAGTATACTATTCATCTTAAATCATTAAAGATTATGAAATTTTAACAGTCAATTCAAAAGAGTTTTCTCATTGATCATCACTTAATGATTCTGTATGGGTTTGAAAAGTTATTTCTGTTGGATAAAATGAATAATTCATCTCTATTATGCATAATTTTCTTTATTGTACTATGATATTTCATACAACCTAGCTCACCTAAACTAAACCATACTTTTTTTCTACAATAGATATTTTCAACAATAAATTTAATGTTCGTTGAAATACTGAACTAATGTTCTCCTCACCTCTTCACCTCTCTCGCGTTCATTGGCAGCAGTGACTTCGTCTCCATCATTGCGTAGATTTCTTGCATCTTCTTGTACTGGCTCGGCAATGATTCCGTCCTGTATTTCTAAATCTAAAATTACATTGTGCAGAATGCAGATACCTTCAACAATTTTCTCAACAGTGTCAGGTTTCTGATTTATAGTCGTGTAAAAAATACGCCATTTTTGACACGTTCTTGCAAACGCATTTTCTACGACTACGCGAGCACTAGAGAGCCGCTGATTGAATTTTATCTGCTCTTCCGTTAAAATGAGTCCTCTGAACTGTTTCATCAATATAGGCAGTAGTGGATACACCCCGTCACCAATCAAATAGTACGGGGCTATCAAGTTGGAAGATGGCAGTTGTCGTGCCTCTGGTATCTTTAATAATTTCTTGTCAATCGCTTGTTTGAGCTTGGAATAATGAAAATACTTGCATCGTTTTGTGACCCACATCTGCATATATCTATCGTCATGTATCTGCAGTCTGCATCGACGTGTACCAGGAGTACCATTGAATATAATTTCTTATAATTATAATAAGCTGTTCCAGACCCCGGTGGTTTTTGAATTCTGATGTCCCGGCCGTCTACTGCGCCCAAGCATTTGGGAAATCTCCTTTTCTCATAAAAACATTCAGCAATTGTGGAAAAATCTTCCTCGATTGGGCAAGGTATGTGTAGAGGTTGAAGAGTATTCCAAATGGCATCCATGCACTCTTGAACTATGGTGAAAACTGTTGACAATCCAATGCCAAAGTAAATGCCAGAGACCCATAGCTCTGACCAGTAGCAAGAAATCCTAGCGTTATGACTAGTCTTTCTTCTTGAAGAATAGGACGGGCATGTAAATTGCACCAACGTTTTGACGACGAGGCTTCAATTTTCTTAAAAATGTATTCGAATGTTTCGACTAACATTCTAAGGTACTCTATAAATTTCGTCTCTTGTCTGCGTATTTTTGGAAATAGAGCATGATACTGCCCAGAACTAGATCTATCAGCTCCCTCGCACATGATTTTCAAATCTAAATAGGGAATTAGAATAAAAACCTTCAATTTAGTTAACTCGGATTGTCAATAACAATGGACAAGAAATTTTCGCATGCAATAGATTACTGTTTTTCACACAAGAGCCAAAAACTCAATAGAAATACGAAATTTTTCAGTTAGAGTGCAGAACATTTATTTCAAAAATTCCGTATGAATCGGAAACAACATGTACAGATAAAGAGATAAAATAAAGGAAAGCTTGATTAATAATCATAATAGACCCTTACGCAATAGAAGTCTCCAATGAATTGATGAATAATTTTTTTCACTGCATCAACGCTGAGCAACGCTTAACATGTCTACCGTCAGGTCAGCGCAAGTGGAGAGCTTCCAGTTTACGTGATACGAATCTGGAGTTCTCCAGTTCAGTCTCTCGAAGGTGAATGAAGGAACAGCATAGAATATCGAAAAACAACGAACGTCGAAGCGACGCTTCTCCCCTATGTTCTCATTGGTTCCATGCGATACACGTGGAGCCTTCGCTTCTGTGGAGTCACTCGTGCTAAACCCCTAAAGCGACAAATCGTTCGGTGGCCACCACCGACATCAGTCCGAAAGCAGCGCCACTCAAAGGGAAATCAACACGAGGCTAAGCCGCGCTTGCAGGTACGGAGCGAATGGGTCTTATTAGAGATTACGGAACGAAACAAACAATCATGTTTGATGGTCGCAGTCCACTTTCCAAGTGATGAACGGTTTTTATGTACTTGTCTCATAAGTCAATGAGTTTTCCGCCGTAATATCTGGAGATTTATAAAGTAAGAACAATTAATTCAAAAAAATCTCTTACAGCAATTATCGGTGATACCACAAAAGTATGGCAAATTCAGAATCTTCTATATTAGAAACATTAATTGAATAATTGGATTGAGTAGAACGAATGAAGAATTTATCTTCAGGAGTAAAATCCAAACCCGTCCACTTTTGCTACTGATACATACCATAAAAGACGAATTGATATTGTTAATCAAATGTTTTAGTTTTGCATCAACGTTTTTCATCAAAATTACCTATTTTCAATTTATTCCCACTAATCTTCCCTATTTCACCTACATACTCATTTGCAACAAAGTTTTGGACTTATAAAAATATAAGTAATAGGCATTACTGTTATCTAGAAAATAAAAAGTATCCGAACATTGCCAGGTCGGTATCGTCGTCGTCTTTGGTATCATTTGAATTTTCAAATTTCCGTCAATTTACTGTCACTTTGAAAGCACCTCAATGAATCATGTGCTTTCATTGAAGGCCTAGTAAGAATTTTCTGCACCATTATCTAACGAGCTGATCTTCATCGACCAATAAGACCCAATCCAAGATGGCACCCGAGGGTCCCAGGATAAGTCAATAGCATCAATGAATCATGTGCTTTCATCTAAGGCCCAGTACGAATTTTCTGCTCCAATAACAAATGAACTAAACGTCATCTATCAATAAGACCCAATCCAAGATGGCGCCCGTGGGTTCCAAGATGAGTCAATAGCATCGATGAATCATGTGCTTTCATCTAAGGCCCAGTACGAATTTTCTGCTCCATTAACAAATGACCTAAGCGTCATCTATCAATAAGACCCAATCCATGATGGCGGCCGTGGGTCCCAAGATGAGTCAATAGTACCGATGAATCATGTGCTTTCATCTAAGGCCCGGTAGGAATTTTCTTCTCCATTAACAAATGACCTAAGCTTCATCTATCAATAAGACCCAATCCAAGATGGCGCCCGTGGGTTCCAAGATGAGTCAATAGTTTTACGTCATGATTTCACAGACTTACCGCCGATAAATCCGGAAATATGAGTGCTTTTCAGGTAATCCAGAAATAAAAAGAAAGATAGATTTTTGCTTAACATGGATTTTTAACTTTAAGCCAATAAAATTTTCCTCTGATTTTACAAATTCTGATAACAATGGTATTCAATAATTCAAATTGATTGAATCATTCCATTCAAAATTTTATTTTCATTCATTATCGAAAACCTTTGAATTCATTTTGAATCAAAATTTGATTAATAAAAAGAGCAACAAACACAAAAAAAAATTAATATTTAATTATGTGTCATCTCGACTGTTCTCTGAGTTTAACGTCAGAATGATGAACAAATTTTATCATTGAGGACTTGACTCTGACCTTGAAGGATATTTTAAAAAATAAATTGAATTGATTGATCTATAATCAATAATTATTGGAAATTTTTACTTCTGAAGTTAAAGAATTCAAAGTATTAATGAGGGTGAGAATTTCTTTTCACACGGAGTAATAATTATAAAAGGTTTCAATTCCTGAATGTAATGACTCATTCAAGCACAATGATTCTAATTAATAATAATAATTGAAGTACAATCAGGAATCTCCCTGAATATGATAATGATAGTTATGACAGAAGGTCTGTTCATTTGACAACAATATTTGGGGTTGAATATATATAATATAATCATTATCAGACATTGAACATAATTGAATTCAATCCGAAGAAATCGATAGTAATGTCTCTAAAGACATAGTGGAAAATAAAGAATTCTTTGATTCGGAAATCCACAAGAAAGAAACATTGAAATAATAAAGGTCAATTTAAATTAACTCACGGTAGCTGTAATTAAATTTTAGGGTTTATATATATATATATATATATATATATATATATATATATAATTCGATGAACTGAAAGATGGTCCTCAGATAATGCTTCAGGTAATGCCTCAGGTTTATCCTTAGTAAAGTTTCTAGTCAATAGCCTCTAGTCAATTGCCTCTGGTCCCTTGTCTTCACTGAGGATCATNTATATATATATATATATATATATATATATATATATATAATTCGATGAACTGAAAGATGGTCCTCAGATAATGCTTCAGGTAATGCCTCAGGTTTATCCTTAGTAAAGTTTCTAGTCAATAGCCTCTAGTCAATTGCCTCTGGTCCCTTGTCTTCACTGAGGATCATCGGATGATGCTCCTTATAAGACGATGATGACTTGAAGGGGGTAAGATTTTATTACATTAAAAAAAACCGGAAGGAATGGAATTTTGTTTCACGGAAGTGTTCCAAAGAAAATTAATATTTGAATACTTGAAGGTAATCGAACCTTTTCCACGTAAAGTTTTTTTTATGACGACATCGAAATGGCAAGTTTTTTTTGTGAAATCAAAAGTGAAATCAAAATAAATGAAAAAATTTAGTTCGCAAAAATTCGGAATATGAACTTTCTAAGGTTAAAGGCAAAAATATAATTGTGGAAAATTTGGAAAATATTCCCGAAATTAGAACAGGAAAATGGTAATTTTAACGGAATTTTTAATGGTGGAACCATTAAAAATATTCTCTTAGAATTCTTCAATGCCTAAAGGAGGTTAGGCGGTGTTTGAGGTGAATTTGAGAGTGAATTTCTGTGGTTCCCGGTAGCTTAGTCGGTAAGAGTGCCCGGCGCGTATCTGGGAGACCCGGGTTCGATTCCCGGCTGGGTGACGCGGAAATTTTTTCTTTCTAAATTCTAATTCTCTTAGAATTTTTTTTTCTACGCGCNAATATAATGATAGTTTTTAATAATATTTGCCGTTAGAAGGACGGTGGCGATATACAGTAGTGTATATATACACCTGTAATAATAAGAATAATAATGATAATAATAATAGTAAAATGTTATAGTTATAAAACTGAAAAATCAATTATTTGAAATAATAAGAATTCTTTTCAGGAAAATATAATGATAGTTTTTAATAATATTTGCCGTTAGAAGGACGGTGGCGATATACAGTAGTGTATATATACACCTGTAATAATAAGAATAATAATGATAATAATAATAATAAAATGTTATAGTTATAAAACTGAAAAATCAATTATTTGAAATAATAAGAATTCTTTTCAGGAAAATATAATGATAGTTTTTTTTTTTTAATAATTAGCGAAAATAATTAGGCGAAAATAAAATGTCAAAATCGACTTTAATCACAAAATTTGATTCTGTAATTTTCGGAAAATACTCGCGAAAATAAAATATCAAAAATCGAATTTAATCACAAAATTTGATTATATAATTTTCGGAAAATACTCGCGAAAATAAAATGTCAAAAATCGAATTTAATCACAACATTTGAT